TTGCAAAAGAAAACTGTGGGGAGGGTTGAATATATATTGATGGGTTATCTGAGTATGTATGCAACAGCTGTGAAGATAATGTAGTTTTAAACATTACCTTTTAAATCATTTATTCAATAAAATTATAAAAGCAACTGAAAAGAGAATGTGTCATTCTATTTTCTTACAGCACGCACACCACTGAGTATGTTTATACTCCAAGAAAAACCCTTTAGTTTGTCATTTCAACATTTGAAACAGTAGTATATGTGTTGTTTAGATCCGGACAGCCAGTATGTTTAGTTCCAACTTGATAAAGCATCTGTAGATCATATTTATTTCATTACAGTCCATCACTCCATCCACATGTCTGGGTACCACTAGATATAGCCGAGGAAATACAGTATATGACCCTTTAAATTGGATGCTCAGACCTCCTGGCACCATCTGATAGTGTCTATCAGTGCTTTAACACAATTAAGTAAATCAACTTGGCTTGCAAACCATTATGATGTTTGGACAGTCCTTAAAGCATGCAGAGCTCATGCTATAGCTCTGAGCTAAATGAGAATTTTTTTTGGCTCCACTAGCTGATGAAGATACCATTGAGTGCTCTACTCAACCCAAAATAAACCTATATAACATCCTTTCACCAGTGGAATAAACTAAACAAGGGATTTCTCAGTTCCAGAAAGGTCAGTCATGTGAGCAGCAATATACTATTTTGCCTTTCATGACAACTTGGCTAATTGCTGGAAAGATTGTGCCAGATGTGAAATATGAAAGTTACATCCTAGCTTATTTTTAACATTGTGGTTCAATGAAAACTATCTCAGAAAAGTCATGTCACACTGTAGTGTAGTGCAAGCTTACATCACTAATGGTATAGGATGGTGTAGAATTACAGTTAAAGTGTGTGTCATAATTTGATAACTGTTATACTGTCTTACCTCATGTAGGACTAACACAACACCATGTGATGCCTGACATTGTCAGAGAATAGTTATTAAAAAACACTATTGCAGTGCATAGTATCAGTATCAGACCTTAACAACGTAATCACATTTAGAGGTTCAACATATATTAATAGCCTTGCAACAAATAGCTACATGTATAAAGTGTTTGTGAAATACTGTTTATTATTCTTAACTGAAAGCTCTATTACATGGATTTCCATGAAACTGTTCACTTTCATGTCCTCATCAGCAGAATCAGTCTTTTTTTATTTTATTTGTTCAGTACTTTGGTTTATGCAACACTGACAGTCCCATCACCCTTAGCTATACATTGTGTGTAGCACTAACTACCAAACTGTTAGCAACATTAGGCTTTATTTTAAATTGCTTTTCCTTTTGGACTTTTAATAATTCTGATTCCTTGTTTTTAATTTCTCTCCTTTTGTTCGGGTAACAAACCCAGGCTAATTTACACCCCTGTGGAGCTGTGACAGTCTGTGACTATGATAAGGAGAAAGATTCTCATATGCCTGGCCAGCTTCTCTGTTCACAACTCTGAAACCACTCAGCACCAGGTCAGAAGTACATAAAATAGTTTTGTGCATATTTGGGGATATGCAAGTGCTCAGAGATAGTTCAGTCTGTTCTGTGTGTAACCCACTGCTGGTCTGCTATCACGTCCAACCAGCACTTTATTTCCTCTCCTGAGTCTGCCCCTGAGCTTCCATCTGTCTGAATAAATGATTCTGATGATAAAACAACAAGCACTTGAAGAGCAGAATATTTTAATATCCATGATCATCTTGAGGCCTCTTTGCAGCAACTGTGGCCTTATAGAGAAACAAAGTACAAAAGCACAAATTAGGCTGTAACTGAAGTGTAGTTTTGTGGTGCAATAAGAGGCCCTATTATTGAAGCAATAACATTTTGGGAAATATGCTAAACAGAATGTATTACCTTGGTGAGAGCTCTGTGAAAAGACAGATACCACTCCTATAACTGAAGCTGGTTAGCATTAAGACTGGAACAATGAAATGTTACAACCCCCACCCCCCACCAGCTTCTCACTAATAAATATACCTATTTAAGATAAGCAATTAGCTTAGCTTCTTTACATTTCATACATGTCTTACAGTGGAAGAAGTACTGAAATTGTTTGCTTAAGCAAAGGTAGCAATACTGTAGTGTAACAATACCATTACAAGTAAAAGTCCTGCATTCAAAATGTTACTTAAGTACAAAAATATACTTAAAGAAGCATAAGTAAATGTAGAATAGCACATTGCACATTAATGCAGGTTATATTATTGGATTATAACTATTGACACATCATTGTGAACATCACATTTAATGCTGCAGCTGGAAAAGGCGGAGCTCATTTTAACTACCTTATTTGTTTCTATTCTAAGTGCTGCTGGGTTTTTTGATAATTCCCCTCTAGGAATATTACTTGGCATAGCAAGTAAAAAGGAACTGAGATTTCTGTATTAATCAGCAGAAATTCAAAACCCCAGGTATGATATAACAAACTGCTAAATACACACAAGATCAATGAGAGATCAACATTACTTTTAATGTCAATACAGCACATACACTTGAACTGATTGAAAAACAAGTTTCTCTCTTCTTTACAGTGAAGTACAGTTTATGCTACATTAATACCCCCCACCCCAAAATGACCTATTCCAATTATCATCCTTCATTAATACTTTCTTTCTTTCACTTTCTTGCAAATCAGATGACACATTTTTTGTATAAAACTGACTCATTGGAGGGGTGAAGGGAATTCAGGAAGCCTTGTAAGATTAACTTGAGGATCAAACAGCAAAGTCTATGCATGAAGAGCGATCTTGGCAAACATCACCACTGTTCATTCTAACAACGCACTGGAGTTTCCACCTCACTGAAAATGGTCTAATATCGCAGTAAAATAACACAGTCATAAACATCACCTCCTTAAAATAGGTAATATTACTTTGATTTTCAGCATATAAAACATCCTCATGTGCCTTGATTATCACAGCTGGAATGATGGGAACAAGCTGGAGACAGAGACGCCACACATGTCACTTAAAGTGGTGCTTTTATAACCTGTATAACCTGTGTGTAATGAAGTGGGAGCAGAGGGACACCAGAAATCTGTATTTTCATTCATGACAACGCTTAGGTGATCACGCATGCCAAATACAAATCCTCAGACTATAAACAAGCAATAAAATTTACAGGTCACATTCTCAATCTGAGTCAAACAAAATGGCAGTTTTACCAGCTAAAATAGATCTAGCATGAGGACTATACAAAGAACTCAAACCGCAACAACTGCAGATCAGTAGTGAGATCTGGGTGACTTTTTTTTATACTTAAAACATTACCAAAAAGGCTGTTTGGGTAATCTCCCACAGATTCACTTATATATGTCTGGAAAATGTATTCAAAAAAGGCCAGATTTGGACGACTTCACAATGCTAACAGCCAACTGTCAATTGCCTATTATGTTTGTGCATGCAAATATGTATGCAAGCCAACTACAACACAAAGGATGACACATAGGTTCACTTGCCCTGAAATGCTCACCCGTTTCAGTAAAAACAGACGGTAAGTCTTAAAAGATGAATGAAATTATCGCTTTAAAAAAATCTGCATGATAAGAGTCGGCAGTCAGAATGAAAGGCTACGTCTGTGTGCCTCCATGGACATTCAGTCAACTTTCTTGCTGCGCAGACACAGTGTGTCCAGCAGGTATCGGCAGCAGGAGCTGGTGTGCTGCGACAGGAGCATGAGGACCTTCCCATGAATGAGGGTCAGTAGGGTCTGGTGGCCTGTTGCCCAAACCCGGTACCAAGGCCCATAAAAGGGATCAGAGACGGCTGGGCACAACATGTTGTTCAGGTTGACCTCAGTCACCTGAAGGGGAACAGAGACATACAGACAATCAGAATAATAAGTAGTACCCAGCTGGAAAATTAGTTTTCGGCCACATTATATTTAAAGGTGTCTATATTTTTGTCCTTCCCAGCTATATACACGAGAGGGTCGGAATATTAGCAAACTTGCAAGTGGACAAAATAATACCAAGTGTCACAGTCAGGATATTAATTTTGACCTAAGTAGTCACAGCTCTGACCTAACTAGAGAATAAAAGCAGCAGTCAAAGGTAGACCAACAGTCACAGAAAGACAGCTTCAAAATGTGGACTTCAAACTTGAATAAACATATTACCATTATAAAAATGATATAAGCTTACAACAAATACATTTCAGTAAAGGAATTAGTCTTTAAAACATTTGCAAGGTAATCCAATTCTTATTTAAAAAAAATTGTGCTTTGATATCTCACTGTGCTTTTTGTTATTCTAAAAAGTAAAATCAATGTATGTAGTGCTATTTGCCTCTTATTCAACATTCCCACACACACACACTCGTACCCACACGCTGATGGCAGTGACCTATAGTACTATGCAAGATCTGGTCTGACCATCGGGTTGAGTTTATATCTGAGTATTAAAATATTCAGATAATACTGGTGTAAGACAGACTGATCAATACATGTGACACCAGTGTCAGCTTGTAAAATACTGCATTCAATTTCAGTGTGTTCTTGTTGACCACACTTATGGTATGAGCACTACACGCATGCACCTCTGATGGTGAAATATCATGTAATGGCCAGTAGAGGGCTCTATCTCACCAGGCCAAGGAGCTGCAAGAAGAGGAAATGATAGAGGAACAGAATGCCAGTAGAGAGCAGCGCCCACCACATGTCCCCCAGAGGCTCAGGCTTGTACACACCTGGAAAAACACACAGCAAAATATCTGAACCAGGCTGTAGGTTACAGAGAACAAGCACTGGCCAGTAATAACAAACTCAGTGCTATTCTCAGCCACTTCCCTGATAGTGTGCTAGTGACAAAAACACCCTGTGACCACAGCAAAACCAGTTATAGAATGTGGTGTCAAACTGGTTTCCTCTTTGCTCACTGCTGGTTTTATGTCAGAGGACCAGCTTAACTAGGACAGTCAATATTTCCCTTTGTGAAAATCTGGTGTTACATTACTAATGAACAGTGTTTGGCAGGTGACCAAGTAGGTGTTCACTGTTTATGAAAATGTGCTTTAGGTTATTACATTATCCAGCACTTTGATATCATTAAGCAGCTGCAGAACTTGTGTCGTTGATCACATTGAAATTTTAAGTTAGCAGTATTTTTTTTAAAGGCGTTCACCATATTAGATTTAAGACTAAGATCACATGCGGGGCAAGTTAATACCTTTCATAACATTCAAACAATGATGTAAAAGGGACAAAAGAACTACTGTCATTTATTAAGTGCATGAAATTGTTTAATCACAGTAATATAATTGATCAATTAATATGAGCTGAACCCAGGTAAGGAGCAGAAGTGATGGTCCATCCATCCATTTTCCTCCGCTTATCCGAAACCGGGTCACGGGGGCAGCAGTCTAAGCAGAGATGCCCAGACTTCCCTCTCTCCAGGATTAACCAATTAAAACATTATTTAAAACATGTAATTTAAGCTTTAGATAAACTTGCCCTTATTAGTTGATGAAAAGCCTAGCTACTGTGGCTAGAACCGACTACCTCCTGTGCACACAGTCTATTCTCTCTTGTTCAAGTATAACAGCAGGCGTGTTGTAGTCATAACAAAGTACAGTAATCTTTTCATCTTTGGGATGGAGCCACATCAATCTAAGCTGTACATACAGTGCCTTGCGAAAGTATTCGGCCCCCTTGAACTTTGCGACCTTTTGCCACATTTCAGGCTTCAAACATAAAGATATAAAACTGTAATTTTATATCTTTATGTTTGAAGCCTGAAATGTGGCAAAAGGTCGCAAAGTTCAAGGGGGCCAAATACTTTCGCAAGGCACTGTACATACAGTATGTCAGCATGTGGCTCCAGGCTGAGTTTTTACATTTGTTCTACATGTTGATGTTTGTGGGAGAATGTATAATTTATGTAAGAAGCAGCAACAGATGTTTATTTAGAATAAACGGATAACTGTGTTGCTGAGCATTAACAGCCACACAGTTGAACAGAAAACAAAAAGCAGGTATCTAGAGCAACTCAAACGTCATCAACAAAAGGGAATTCAACCATGGAAAAAGACACGTCACGGTATTATGAGCTCGCTCAACTGACGTGAGAAAAGTACTTGATCCTGGGTGTGAATGAGAGCAAAGGCAACACAGGTGTAATGACTGAAGAGCAGCATCTACTAAGGCTGGGTATCATTCTAAAATTTTCAATACCTTCAATACCAATTTTGTAAAATCAATTTCAACTATACACACACACACACACACACACACACACACACACAATACACATTTTGGTACGGATCATTAGATTTATTTTTCAATTCCTTGGCATCTCTGTGCACTCAACGCAGTTTTCTAACATAAAAAGTGACCCTATTTACAACAGCCTTAAGCTCTGTTAACATTAACATCAACATCAACAAATAATGTAGAAAAGCATTCTTCAATACTCAAGGGTACTAAAGTAATTCAATAGAAGCCATAAAAGTATTAAAGTTCGACACCTACCTCCTTTCCTGAAAAGGTAAAGAGGCACCAGGTACATCATGGAGTGCTGAATGTAGTATATCTCCTTCTCAAATGGCAGCTGCAAAGAGAACAGACGGGTTCACTTCTTTACAACACTCATTAAAAATGGCCTACAGGCAATATCTTGTACATGTTTTATTGCTTATAGTATGAGATAAAGAAGACACACAAACAAATACCTCTAGATATACGTCTTAAACTAGAACCTAAAATCAATGTAAACAGACTTCCTGCACTGTGTCAGTGAGGTTCTTTAATGTACTGACCTCAGACGATCATTCACAGCTGTGCTCTGTTAGCACGAGCTGCCAGCACTGCTCGAACACTGTACTAACTACTACAGGAGAAAAACTGCAGAGGTGCAGCCAGGGCTATGTGACTCCTCTTCAGCATTATTCCACTGCTAGTGAAAGAAGACATGACAGGGTGCGGCCACTAGAAAGCACTAGCTGACCCAGGATCAACACACACCTGAGCCTTTCAAAGCTTGACAAGAAAATGAAACAAGTGCATAATGTAGATAAAAACAAATATAAGTGGACAGTGGCACTTTAGTAATTCCACTGCCTTATTAATAAAAAAGAAACACAGCATTTTACAAACAAATTTAGAACCTTTGTGGGCAATCAGTTTTTTTTTTTATGAACATAAACTGTGCACTGCCCACACACTGTCTACTGGGGACAGGTTGGGACTGCAGACAGGCCTCCAGCACTCTCACCCTTTTCCTCCACAGACAGGCCTTGGTAATGTGTGCAGTATGAGGCTTGCAATGTCTTGTTGGAATATGCATGGGCATGGCTTTGCAATGTCTTGTTGGAATATGCATGGGCATCCCTGGGAAAGATGTCGCCTTGAAGGCAGCATATGCTGCTCCAAAATCTGTGTTTTTCAGCATTAATGGAGCCATCACAGAAATGTAAGTTAACTTTGCCAAGGGCAGTGACACAACCTCAGACCATGACAGACCCTGGCTTTTGGACTTGTTACTGTAACAGTCCGTTGCGTGGTCCTTTTCGTCCTTGGTCCAGAGCACACGGTGTCCATTCTTTCCAAAAAAGACCTGAAATACTAATTAATCTGACCACAGTACACATTTCCACTGTGTACTGTGGTCCATCTCAGATGCCTCCGAGCCCAGAGCAGTCAAATGTGCCTCTGGACACTGTTGACACAGGGCTTCCTTTTGGTACAGTGCAGTTTTAAGCAGAATTTATGGGTGTAACTACATATTGTAATGCCTGACACAGGTGTGCCAAAGTAATCCTGAGCCCATGAGGTTATATCGCTTATAGAAGTTGAGGATTCCTGATGCAGATCCTCACATGGATCATATATTTTTAAATTAGAGATGGGGAATGATTTTTAAATATTCGAACAGTCATTACATTTAGAAAGGTCAAATAATTCATGTGACTATGTTTTTGTCTTTAAAAACAAAGAGCAACTGTTTTTCCTTGCTTTTATCAGTGCTTGGAAATAACACGATAATGAAGTCAGTATATCGTTTTACTATAGCGCCAAATACAAGCAGCAGAAGCATGCAAAGAATACAGCCATCAAAAGGTTCTGTGTGGAACTTCTTTGAAAAATGAGGTGCAGTGAAACCTCTACCAGGTTAAGTTGGCATATCCAAAATCAACAACAACTATGCACAGTGATTTGAAGGCAAGGCATCCAGCAGAAAGTGGGCACCTGCCCTTTGTCTGCAGCTGTTAGTGAAAGTCCTTCAAGTGGGAATTGTTGCTGGACCTGAAGTGATTCCCACAGACTTCCTCCAATGAAACAGCAAGTTTCCATCATCAATCAAGCTCGAACTTTCTGCCACTTGGGTCTGACATTTTGTCTTCTGCGACTTTATTACTCAGATTCATGCTCTAGTAGAGGAACCACCACAATTTAAACATCCCATTTATTTATATGTCACAATTTTGACATAGAGGATATAAAATGTCAGTCTTTTTGAAAAATACTAAAGCTAAGGGATAATGCACTTGCTCTCTTGTTGAGCTGTCAGGAACAGTAAAATATATGGCTAATGAACAAGAAACCTGTCTTATCCAAGGATAAGCAGCACCACAGCAGCGCGGTGGCTAGCTAGCACTGCCGCCTCACAGCAAGAAGCTTTTTGGTTCGAGCCTCGGCTGACCCAGAGCCTTTGTGTGTGGAGTTTGCATGTTCTCCATGTGCCTGTGCGGGTTTTCTTCAGTTACTGCAGCTTCCTCCCACAGTCCAAAGACATGCAGTTTAGGTTGACTGGTGACTCTAAATTGCATGTGATTGTGGGTGTGTGTAGTTGTCTGTCTATGTGTCAGCCTTGTGATAGACTGGTGACTAGTACAGATAATGGATGGATGGATCCTTGATAAAGCTCAGGCTTGTAGAAGGTTGTCTATGAATGAGAGCTAGGCTTTGCTGGAGATTTTTCCAGTACTGGTTACTTACCAGTCTAGTGTTGACTACAGGGAATATTAAAGCCAAAAACGCACCATTCAACATGTGGACTTGCAGCCTGAAAACACACAGAGAAAAACATTATAACAATAGACCAGGGGTTGGCAACCTTTACTATCAAAAGAGCCATTTTGCCCCTTCTTCCACTAAAGAAACATAGTCTGGAGCCGCAAAACATAACGCAGCTTATAAACTTTTAAACACTTTTAATTTTTTTTAAATTTTACCTGTTACAACAGAATGCAACAAACTGAAGTGCAATGTGCATGTGTAGGCCTACTTTGAAATAAATTAAACACTGAACTATGCAGTCCTTTTTGAGTCCTTCCCGTATTTGTGTAAAATTAAAATAAAACGTAGCCCACTTTAATATAAAAAACATATAGTTGCAGCTTAGCAGTTTTAAAAAAGTTAACATAAAATTAGGAATGTTTTTTGACAAGTCCATTTCAGTGTGCTCTCATCCTCTTCGGGTTTCTTTCTCGGCCAGCAATCAACCGAAGGACCCGAACATACAATAAACAACTACATCAACTTTGGGTCTGAAATAAATGTTTTTTTCTGAAAAATAATATTCTATTAAATGCTAGTGTTGTCACCTGTTTAATGTGCCTTCTATGTCGTGTCGGCCAGTTCAGTTTCAAGATGGGCTGACTTATCTCTGTGAATGTGGATATGTTCAACAGGGATGGGTCGATGTCCAGCGGTGTGACAGGGAAGGACAGTGTGTTTTGTTCCTTTCTGAACTCGCTGAATCCTTCTCCAAATGCAGCTTGCATTGCCATAATTGCAAGGTGTAAATAATCACAATTTATGTGATTATTCTCTTCTTTGAACTCTCTCAGGGAGGGGAAGTGAGAGAGCGTACCTCTCTGTACATCTCTGGCAAACACTGTCATCTTGCGCTCAAACGCCAGAACATCCTCCAGCAACTGTAGGGCCGTTAGACTTTAAAACAGTCATTGAAAAAAAATGAATAATCTCCACACTGCCCATTACATCAGAATCCCAGGATAATTTTAACAATTATTTTCACATTCCACCTATAAGCTTGAATGAATTAGTGCTGATATAAGCACCGAGGAACATGTGAAGAACAGTGTAGATTATGTTCTATGTGGCAGAAAATGAAGCGGAGTCCTCCTTGACGCTGTTAGGAACAGCTGTCTCTCATTCTCTGGGTCACTGATGGTTCAGGTAATTACAACCTTTGACTTGTGTGTTGGAGAGACTTGACATTTCTATGATTGTTTATGAAATCAAACAGTTGATTCTCAGATGTCTGTATTTCTAGCATTCATGATTATTATAATTTAGATCCATTTCAGCCTTCGCTTAGCACACATTCTGCAGCTACTTCCATCTCACTCACCATTCAGTGCAGACACAGTGTGATGTGTGCTCAGTTAACTTCTTACCTCTTAACTTTATTACATCCTCTTATGAGGATAAATGTTTCTCTGAACCAAAGATTATTCTCAGAGCCACCATAAATAAAAACATAGGAGCCTATGTGTCAAAGTGTGGACCTACAGTACATCTATCTCATCTGCTCTTATTGTCAGATGAGCCAAAATAAATGATGTGGCAGCTAAGGTCACTGGGGAAACTGCAATGATGCAGGAACATTAGTTCAAATAAGCCCAGCTGTCACTCAGTTGGCCTACGGACAGTTCGGGAAAAAGTGTCTGCTTCCTTCAAATTCACGACATTTATTGACTGCTGGCAGTCTTTGCCCCCTTTAATTAAATATGTTTAAAAATTAAGTTCTAATAAATAGTGATCACAAGATAATAGTCTGTCTAGAGAATATAAGAAGCTGAGGCCAAGCAGGTGTGTTGGAACAGAGGTGGTCTTCCATTCTCAAATCAAATGCTGGTACTGTGTCTGTTATACACAAGCTGTTGATTTCCACTACACAGTCAGACTGATGCATTTATGCATGAAGAGGAAGAAGAGATTAGAAACTATAGTGGTAAAAGAAGAAAACATGTCTGAAAACATTTTCACTTCCCCACTAGGATTTAAAAAAAAAAAAAAGACACAGCCAGTACTGAATGTATCTTGATCAAAATCAGAGTACTTTGCTGCCTTTCCTTTTGATTGAAATTTTTTGTTCTTCAAGTTTTGCATAAAATCAAACCCAGTTTTATACTATTTATAATTGTAACAAATTACAGAATGTAAAAACAAAATTAAATTTGAAATGGGGGTGGGGTTGGCTGCTTTTATTTTGAAGAAATTACAGAAAACTATATGTAATTGTGAGCAAGGTTTGTGCTGACAGTGATTGTTGATTTTTGGCATTAAATGGAGAAGCGGGTGTCCCGGACGACTGACTACAGACTTTCAGCTTCTCATCAAGGCAACCAGCTCCTTCTACTGTGCGCTGCTGCTTTTTACAGACCGTCTTCTTTCTAATGAAAACATGTGCCTGCTGGGCTGCACTGTAAACACATGCATCGGTTTCTCCTCAGTTCTAACAAAGCAGCAGTTCATGGAGTGCATGCTGCAATATTAAACCACTCTCACTGTTACCATGGTAACCATGGGTGTTGCCAAACCAGCCATGATTGAAATCTGAAAAACTTTAAGCCTTCCTCCTTTAAAGCATTGTGTTTTCTGCATGTACAATGGGGCAAATAGGTATTTGATACACAACCTACAAAGAATCTACAAAAAAATTCCAGAAAATCTACAAAGAATCTACAAAAAAAATTCCAGAAAATCACACGATGAAAAATACAGATCTGTCCGGTCTTTGTAAGTGGGAAAACTTGAAAAATCATCGGTGTACCAAATACTTATTTGACTCACTGTATGGTGCAACTACTGAGCAGTTCCACTTGTGTCTGGATTCTTATTTATCCAGGTGCATATAAAATGCCATATTTACATTAAACA